GTTCAGTCTCGCCTGTGTTTTCACTCTCTCTCTCTCTCTCTCCAGGTAGCTTTGGGGAATGCTTTTGTTGCACAATCACAATACACTACACTCTCCCCCTTGCTCTGTCCTCTCTCCGCCAAAAACACCTCCCTTCCCTCTGCAGCTTTCCTCTCCCCCAGTTCACCTCTCTCTCTGTACCATGTACCTACCAAATTCTATGGCTTAAGTTATGCAGATTGTTGTGTGAATCCTCAGATCAGTTTCCTAGGGTTCAAAATTGTTTGGCACTGATCTAGCTGTGTTTCAGGGACCAGACAAGCTCAGGGTCTCCATGCTGCTCCATCACCTTAACTCCTCCTTGGGAGAGCATTCTTTTGGTGGGGGATGCAAAACCTAATGTAAGTGAATAAAGCAAACCAACCTTTATTCGACATAACGGACATAGTTAAAAATGCTTCCCAAATAATTGAGGTAATGATAAAACCATGGCAACCATTTTGTTAAACACATTCTAGCTGAAGGAATTGCTTTACATTTAAAATTTAATGCAAAATAAAGAGGCAAAGGAAGGCACTGTGATCATGACCATATACTAATGACTTCCTCTTCTCAGAAAGCCACTGGAAAAATTTGCATGTGCATTTGATGATAAAAGATGCAACTCACTGTCCCATTATTGAATAACAAAACCCTTCTAGAGTGCTGTGACACATTTGATAATTTATTTTACTATTAACATTTGATTCTGTACTTTAGACTGCTACAATAGAATAAAACTATGCATATACTTTTTATTGTAGGTTTCAATGTCACGTGGCCTTTGTTATTTCAGAATAAATCCTTTAATTTTGAAACATTTTCACTGTGCTTTTTCTATGGCAATACATGGAATTGGCAACTCACCACTTACTTAAATGGTAGATTGCTTTTTCCAGAAAGGTCCTCATTCTAGATTTTGTGTGGGTTTTTCTCTACACAGAAAGATGCTAGCTCTCTAGGATCATGATACTTAGCTTCAATGAGCACCCATGTAGATGTCTGTTGTTAGTCTTGGAAAGACCTGTATTTTTTTTTTAACTGTGGGAGAGAATTACAGAAACAAATTTGTATTTATTAATAGTGTAAAGAAACGATTTCTCATAACTACATGAGATACAAAAGGGTATGAATTGCCTTAAAAAGTAACCATTATCCTGTGGTCAAGATAATCTAGAAAATGTCAGATTAAAAAATTTTTTTAACTTTTTAAATGTTTATTTTTGAGAGAGCACATAAGTGGGGGAGGGGCAGAGAGAGGAAGACACAGAATCCGAGGTAGGCTCCAGGCTCTGAGCTGTCGGCCCAGAGCCCAACGTGGGACTTGAACTCATTAACTGTGAGATCATGACCTGAGGCGAAGTTGGATGCTTGATCGGCTGAGCGCCCCAGGTGCCCCTAGAAAATGTTTTCTTCTAAATGTCTTTTAGAACTAAATTTTTGGATAACTGTGTTCTCTAGGCATTTTTTTCCCCTGTGTCTGTGCAAGTGTATATTTATACAAATGAAGGCCTACAAGTAAACAGATTTCTCCTAAAGTTATATTCTCACAAGCAAATTCTTAATGTCAAGTGTTAAACGCTACAGTCTGAGATGTAGAAGTAATAAAACTACATTTAACAGTAAGTACATGCCAGAGACAAGATCATCTTTCCTGTCCTCTGAAACAAATCAATGCAAACAATGAGTTTGACCTTTTAATATTTTCGTCAAATTTTGTTAGGTATCAGCAGCTTGTCTTCATGAAATCTTTTATCTAATATCATGTAATCCAGATTAAGTACCTTCATTAGAACGTGTACCTTAAAAAATAGCCATGTGATTTTTTTGCATCTCTTCAGATTAGCTCAATCTGAACATGACCAAAATATCAATTCACATGCTCTCCATCTTTAATTTCTTCACTTAGCACTGACCACTTTTAGCATTTGTATTAGGTTAATTGTGGTTCCCAACACTTACCCCCCCCCAACCCTCTTTGGAATGGAGCTCCATCCACAAAGGCACGGATTTTTGTGTTTGGGCTCCTGGTGCATTTCATGTGCCCAGAACAATGAGTGACACGCTGAGTAGCTCTCACTCACTGAATAAAACGAGGTAGAGGGGTTCAGAGCCAGCACAGCACCGGGATGGCGACCAAACCATCTTGCAGGCCGCTGTATGGACTTCAGCTCTGAGTGCAGCGAGCTGCTCCAGGATTGGAGTAGATGGAGCACCGCAGCTGATTTAATTTGAAAAGTACCATTCTAGCTGTTGTACTGAGGATGGGCTGAAGGAGGAGGGGTGGAAGCAAGGAGGCCGTTACTAGGCAGATACAGTAAACTGGGTGAACGATAATAAGGGTACAGAGCAACAGCACTGTACAGGGGGAGAAGTGGTTGAATTCTGGATTGTTCTGACGGTAAATCCAACAGCATTTCCTGATAGTTTGGAGGTGGGAAGAGAGAAATCAAAGACACCACCACCGTTGTCCTGGCTTAAGCAACTGGAAGAAGGGAGCTGTCATCAAGTGTCTTATGAAAGACTGCTGGAGAAGCACACTTGACGGGAAGGTGGGGGGGTGCTAAGGAGTCAGTGCTGGACGTGTTACAGTTGTTGTAACTGAACTATAATGGTTGGCACATAACGTTGGATGTGTTACGTTTAAGATGTTTTGTCAGGCAGTTGCCAAGAGATGCCAGAGGCGGGCGGACTGGTGTATGGGTGTCGTTGAGAGAATGTTTGTGGCTGGGGACAAAAGTTAAAAGTTCAGTGTATCTGGCTGGGGCTTAATGAATCCAGAGAAGGACAAGGCCTGAGCACCCTGCAGTTGAAACATCTTTAAGGAGGACTGAATTTTATCACAGAAATAGAAAGACTATCCGGTTCTTCTCAGGTAACAAACATCCTGAAGGGGGCGGAAAGCATATTATCAAGTGCTGTTACTTTACGAAAGAGAGGTAAGGACAAGCAAATTATGAACATAATTTAAAGATAGAATTTATTCTCTGATGGTTTACTCATGCAAACTGCACATAAAAGAAAGTAGTACAGTTTGTGTAACATTGCAAATGTAAGGACTCAAAATGCTAGGTACAGAAGTAGTGCGACATCCTGAAAGTCAAAATGGAATTTGTGTTTATACAACTAAGAATGATTTTCATTTGCTGAGCACAGACTGATTTACAATGAAAGTTTTGCTAACCTTGGTAAGTTCATTAACCGTTTACATGACTTCTTACATCTATGTAGTTTTATTTTACAGTTGCAAGAATTCCTGTTACCAAAAACTTTAACTTGCATAAATAATAAAATGAAAGAAAAATGTACTGAAGGACTTAGGAGAGTGAAAAGTTGAGGCTTTTCCTAACCCATCCAAACTTACAATAAAAAATTGCCTTCTTGCAGAATTCATATTTTGTGCCTTTGAGATCAACTCCTTAGCATAACTATGAGAAAATCATGATCAGAAATTCATTGCTTTAAATTACAAAATCAGTTAAAAATAAAAAAAAATTTAGAAGTAGAATTATCAACTAAAAACGCTCACTCTTGATAAGCCAAACAATAAAAATCCTATTATCTTCATACTTAAAAGTCCTGAAATGTCATTTGTATAATTTGAATGTTTCCCAGTTTGGAACTTAGGCAGGTGGGATAGTTCCTTGAATTACCAAGGATATTCAACATAGGTTTTTAAAAGGTCAGTCTCGTTAGGAGATGGCACCGAGACATTCGTAAATAGTGTAGTATAGATGCAGAACAGACTACACAGCTTATTATAAATGCGTTACAGATATTTACATAATGGAATCCTGCTTGAATGCCAGAAGTTGCTACTGGGTAGGACTCGTAACTATTTTACAAAGTTTTCTTACACACGTCTACTACTTTATTTTTCACAATTTAGTCTATTTTAAAATATTGTACTGTATCTTGAACATAACTGGAGAATAAAAATAGATAATGGCACATTAGAAAACTCAGTATCCCACGGATGATTGGATAATGAGAAAAGTGTACCTACAATCATCGCCTCAGAAACAAACTACATCATGGAATGTTAGTTATCCAAGCCTGCACAGTAATGACATTTTAAATTGCAATCATCTATCGGCCAGCATCACACCGAAGGCATCGTTAAACATTCAAGCAAAGACTGCTGGCATAAACTATTGAAAGAAACATACACACATAACACACATACACACACACACACACTCTCTCTCTCTCTCACACACACACACCCACTCTTGCTTCCCACATTATAATTACAATGTTCTAAAGATAGATACTGATTTTTTTTTCCCACGAGAAACATTATCAAAATTTGCTACTAAAAGATGACAGTGCTTTCACAAGAATAAGTACAAGTTAGCTTGCAAGTACAAGACAATGGGGGCAAACAGCCTTAAATTTGCTAAGTAATTTTTAGGCTTTTTCTGGCAACCACACCATACTTGATTATGCATAAACTTCTCAGTTTGTAACCTGAAATCTGCAAAAAAACCCAAAACCTAATTTCAAAAAATTATTAGCTATCTGATAACCCTGTATCATAGATGATATAATTTCATGTTTTATTAGCCTCAAAACATAGGATTTAAAATACTGAATTTAAGACTTGAAAAATAGTCCTTTTGAAATGTTGGAGGATTCCAAAATTCCTGTCTACTTCAAATCTTAAAGAAAACGCACGACGAATGACCTTGATTTAGTTTGAGGGTGCATAAAAGCACTGTATGTCTTTTACCACGTTTCACTCACTTAAAAAGTGTTCTCTAATGTTCTTCCTTTTGCATAATGTGCAAAATAAAAGGCAAAAAGATTAAAAGCAAATTTCTGTCTTTCTCTTGCTAGTGCTTTATGACCTTGTTAACATTACAAAGTCAACAGGGACGATGCAGAACTTTGGTATAAATGATATGACAATACTACCATCACAGTTGAGGGTAAGAGGTGGTCAAAAGAAATGGAAGTGGGAAGAGACTCAGTAACACCCCCATTTATTAAAACACCACCAAATTAAAAGTGAAATAAACCACAATGAATTATAATACAATTTACACATTGAGCACAGAAAATTAATAAATCTAACAATATTTATAAAAAAAGCAAAATCAGTCTTTTTCCAGAGACTAAAAACTGTTGTTCAGGCTGATCATCAACTGCCGCTACACCAACTTTAGAGCCAAATTTAATTTCAAGTAAAAAGAAAAATTTACAACCACAGATTTCGCATCAACGGAAACCGGTCTTTCCTTGATTTCCCTTTGAAGTCACTAATGAGTATCTAAAACTGCCGCACCGCAGGTTTTTAATCAACTTCCTGAGGGCTGTGACTGGGAGGCAGGAGCCATAACAATCTGCGACAGCGCGGGCTCTGTACTCTGGTCTGCCATCTGTGTGAGGACTGAGGTGGCCACAGCTTCGGCCTTGGAGGTTGAACTGACTCCATTGGATGTGCTGACAGAACTATGCTGTATAGCTTCAGGGTGCGGGCTGCTTGGCACTGACAGGTCTTCTGAACTATCGTCTTTATCAGCAGCTGAGCGGAAAAAAGAAGAATCACGGTTTCTTAAAAACAGCTGTAAGAATCTATCAGTAGGTTGTCAACACACAAGAGTAAAAAGTCAGGATTTGACAAAAGCGGTTATTTAGATACGATGGTATGACTGGAACTGAGCAAACCAAAAGGTGGCTTTCCGATTTTACCTGCAGCAGCTCAAGTGAAGGCCTCGCCATGCACACGGAAGCATCTGCGTGCCCAGCTCACAGAACCGAGCCGAGGACGTGTTTGCTCAACAGTGTTAAGAAAAGTCAGGTGGGAATTTGGGAGACAGACTCTTACAGATATAATCAGACCCTTACCAAGTAACGACAATTTAACACAACCGGTCTGTTTGCCTACATGCCATTCTTATTAAAAGATAAGAAAATTTATACCCACACGCATAAACAAAATGAATTCTTCCATACAAATTGCATTTTCAAATTACTCCCTCTGCATTCTCTAGAACTATATTTATTCTGGCTGACTTTCCATCGATGGCAGCAATGGGTGATTACAACACCTGACTCTAATGATGCATACACATGAGAATGAGCAATATTTAGAATCTAAATGCCACCAGCTGTTAGAGCTGCACGAATTAATTGGGATTCAAATAAAAAATTATATAAAACTCTAGAAACTACAATGGAAGATATTCAGAAAGAGGCATTCTGTGTACTTGTGAAAATCTACCAACTTTTAGGATGGAACAATGCATCTCCTACATCTTTCTCATTTTAACAGGATCAAATCCAGGAATTTCATTTAGTGAAAAATCTGATACACACACCACACCGGTAGTTACAGTGTATGTAACTTACAGAATGATAGCATGGACCAATGATAACTGTGAACCTAGCCCCCAGCTTAAGAGAACACCGCCAATAACAATGATGCTTCCTGGAGGCTCTTCTCTTCATCAAAGGTAATCACTGTTCTGATAGCTCTTTAACCATTACCTTGTTTTTTGTTCGAAGTTTTACCAAATAGGTATGCATCCCTAGAAAGTAGCATTTAACTTTTGAACATTCTGAAAATTGTATCATACTGGATGTATTCTTCTGTACTTTTTTTTTTATAGAGTTTATTTATTTTGAGAGACACAGAGCTGAGGTGGAGCAGAGAGAGGGAGAGAGAGAATCTCACGCAGGCTCTGCACTGTCAGTGAACAGCCCAATGTGGTGCTTGATCTCACAAACTGTGAGATCATGACCTGGGCCAAAACCAAGAGTCAGACGTCTAACCAACTGAGCCACCCAGAAACCCCTCATTTTCTTTTCACTTGGCTTTAAAATAATTTTTATTTAGTGCTTAAAGGTAACAAGCGGGCTGTCAAATCTGACAATGCAGACTGGCCTGCTTACTGGTGGCCAGGTGCCTATTCTGAAAGTCCATTATTAAAAGACTGTGGACGCTATGAAGCAGGACTTACTCCATGATTTGTGATGCAGGAGATGGAGGAGGAGAAACCTGGCCAGCTTGATTTTAGTTCACATAAAACTCATTTTGAGAGTTTTCTGAAATATAGGACTTAAAGAATTTTGACAAGTTTGCCTCAAATCCATGCATTTTCTGGAAAGCAGTTTTTAAAAATATATAAATTAGAATCCCCTCTTCTCTATAAATCTGCTATCAATGCAAAATCACCCCTCAAGATATGATAAAAAAATCACAATAAACCTTTTAAAATTATATAAAGTAGAAAGGATCCTTTTCTGATGAGGCAATAACAAATGTTATAAAATATTTCTAATTCAGTTACATAGCCAACAGAACAGTTAGTTACGTGTTCAAGAAACCCAAACCCTGGCAATGGCACTCAAACTGACAAGAGTACAGTCCCCTTTACGTCTCTTCTTCAATATGGAAACAAATGGACCTTCCTCTCAATGTTAAGTTCTAGGGATACACCAGCTTTCAAAAATCAAGAGGCTAAGGTGCCTGGGTGGCTCAGTCAGTAGTGTCCAGCTCTTGATTTCTGCTCAGGTCACGATCTCACAGTTGAGCTGAGCGTGGAGCCTGCTTAAGACTCTCTCTCCCTGCCCCTCCATACTCCTCTCTCTCTCAAAATAAAAAATTTAAAAATAAAGAGGCTGATCTATGATGAGAGGTCTAAGGAAATGTAAATACAGAGTGCAGGCAATGACAACATAAAACAGTACATTTTAAAGACAAGTGCTAATCTCCAGACTTTCAGAATTAGGCAAAGCAAATCTTTAGGCTATACAAAGTACCAGGTACCGATTTATAAATGGCGTAATTATACATTTTATATGTAAAATACTTTTATAAAGGGATATACCTGCACCTATGTCCACTTCTGGAAGGTGAGGAGAGAAAAATCACCAACATAACCATAAGCACTAGAAAGAGAAGAGTTCTTACTGCACTCACAGAGCCCTTTTCAGCCCTACTTAAAGCTAAAAAACTCCCAAGTGTTTGACAATTCACGCTCTGAAGTTTTCTACCTATGTTCATACATATTTTCATTAATGAAAATATAAGCTCTCAATTACATTTAGGGCCCAAAGAAGGTTTCCTTCGCACTTAAGATTACAGAAGCAAGTATAATACAATTTTAATTATGCTCCAAGATTTAGAAAATAGGAATCAATGGTAATAAGATCACTCTTGTGCTTTATTTTTCATAGAATCCAAACATCAAAAATATATTCCTATTTTCATTCATGTTTTATACTGTTTAAGGTGACCAACTGTCATGGTTTTCCCATGCCTGAGGGGTTTCATCCTAGGATGCACGGACTTTGACAATTAGAAGTGAGACCGTATGGCAGTGTGCTTTTATACTGTCACCTTTATCTGAAAGATTTTTGTAATATTCATTAGTTTCTATTAAACCTTGACTTCACAAATGTTTTGAAAGTCTTAACTACTATTACAGTTCACCATCAGCAATAGCTGTGTGCTAAGACATGCATAGTGTTCAGTATTTGTGAACTTCCCCACATTTTCTCCAAGATGTAAGTACTCAATCCATCTGGCTTGACTACTAAACAAAAGTCAGATTTTCTCCTTCAAACTTGAAAACAGAAATTACTTTACAATTTCTACAAAATCCAATTATCTCCCAAGAGCTAAAGAGAACTAATTTTATACTAAAACTGTATTTTACTTCTATTTGATTATCTAGAGGACTAGGTAGGAAAAAGGCAGGAATAGTTCCAAATGTCCAAAATGTGTTATTCATTTCCTGCAATCTATACAACCTAGCATAATATGTATTTCCTAAAAATTTACTAATCTAGACTTTCAGTTTATTTAAGGGTATGGCATATAAACCCACACATTTATACCTTAAAAATATCTTTATAAATTGTTGCTTAAAATGAAAAATTGGCTTGCCTTTGCTGTGCACATGCTACCTTGATAAGAGATAAAACTGATGGGATTAAAAAATTGCAGATGAGATAAATTTTTAGTTGGATGCAACGGAAGAATTCATTTTCCTTCTAATTTTATAGAATCATTTGTATATTCTTTTTGAACTATCAAAATTCAGGAGCGCTCTCTTGTTAAGAAAATCATAGATGCATAATGCTGAACTCAGTAGCTTCTATCAGAAATTATGTTGTTAAGTCAGATGGGAGCCATAATGGCCTCATCCCTGCAGCAATCATTGTTAATACAAACCCCAAACATATTTCTATATGGTTCCAATTTACTCCACAATGTGTTTCACCATCCTGTGAAAATGACTAGATATCAAAGGACTGAGATTTATTTGCTCAAAACTGACAAAAATCAATGTTCTAAATATATATGGCAATAGAGAGTTGCTAAATCTACTGAATCTTTTAAATTAAAAAATATTGCCCATTCTGATGAAACTGCTTACAATGACTACAAGTAAAGATGGTGGCCATTAAGTTTTATCGTGAGCACCTGAGGAACTGTTTGCATCCAATACAAAATGTTTCTTTCTTTTGAATTACTGACACTGGCAAATTAAAATGAAGTGGATACATATGGTTGAAACAATCTTCACATTTACAAATATCCTGAAATATCACTAAATCATAAAAACAAAAGCTGTGGGTTATATATTATGAATGTTGCCTAATGCCTTCCCAGCTCTGTTACTTGTTACAAATTTGTGTACGATGGACAAAATTGGCCATTTATTCAAGAGTAACAGCTGGCTCCAATATTGTGCATCTTATCAAAAAAGAAGGACATTACAAGAAAGAAAAAGCACAATTAACCTCTAAAATGCTGAAAAACAGAAGAATCTCATTTTGGGGAAAACATGTAAAAGGAAACTTAGAAGCAGATAATGGAAGTAGTGTTCTACTGTAGCATTTTTATGACCAAAAGACTCAACATAAAGATTCACAACAATAAAAAAAACTGCATAATGCTGATATTTAAGAACAATAGGATCCGATACTATAAATGGGTACTATATATTGTTAAACCAAGATAGTTAATTAAAAAAAAGTTACTCAATGGAGGCTGGAAAAGAAGCAGTGTTTCACTCTGTCGTTCTAAGACCAACCGTTACCCTGGGAAGATGAAATACCATCAGTACTTACAGTATATTTTGAATTATTAACCTGTTTTGTTGATGTATAGTAATCCCTCGAAAAAAGGCTAGAAACAGGAAAATTCAAAAACTCTAGATTCTACAAAGTATATTCCCTGTTCCATAATAACCTTGCAGAAGTTCTGATATTTAATATTAAGTATTAGAACTGCAGCCTCTGTCTTTTTAACTGTAGCGTGGTTCACTCTGGCAGTATTTCACCGACGCAGCCTAAGGCTATAGGTGATGGCACATTACTCACTATGATAGCCAGATTTCTTCTGCATGGCGGTTACAGGGCAATCTTTATGAGCCAGAAGAAGCTGTTTCAGCTGTGCCACTTCATTTCTCAGCAGGGTGACTTCACTCTAGAGAAGAAACAACTTATGTACCTTAACAGCATCAGACTAAACGTTTCTTACTGCTGCTAACAAGTGAAAATTAAGGATATCGGATATCTTTAACAGAATATCAAGGAATAAACAAAACACACTGCTCGAGCAGGTTTAATCAGTACACATCAGTTTTTGTATTTTAGCATTTGTACAAAGACTGCAACTTCTATAAAAATTTAAATGAGGTAACAACATGACTGGATAACATATTTCAAAGTTTTTATGTTACCATTTGCCTTGGGACTGCTTATATATTACAGGTTACCTGCAGAAGGTATTTTTTAGTTATGTTGCATGCTCTTTTGATTATCTGAAAAATTAGAAACATCAAGGGAGTCAGAATGAATGTTCACTGTCTCTGTTCACTTGAAAGTGAAAAATTTATCCTGGAAACTCAATTAAGCAAGTTTCTGGTTTTCTGGAAACTATGAAAGCCTCCACAGAAGAAACCACAATAATCAAAGAATCATGGATACCTAAAATGCAACAAAGTACTGTGTTGGACACGGAACCAATGATAGTAGATATAATAATATCTAGATGACTTAGTTGCCCTTGATCTAGGTAATCTGTACACATCAAAATTTAAATCTGATAAATTAATGGTGATTTGTCCTAGTCCTTATTTAAAAATGAGCACTTCACAGCCTTTGTTTTGGAGGCGTTAATCTGGTAGATTCTATATTAAAAAGTTCCAAATTAAGGGAGTCCATTTAATTCCCTTGGGTCACCCCCAAATATTAAAGATGCAGAAGTTAGTGATAATTACCAATACTCCAGAGTGAGTCATAATATGAATTTAATAAAATGGTAGGAAAACTCTTAATTTACAAACACATCTACTTATTTGGACTTACATTACCCTTAAGTAACCCGAAATTAAATAAAGAAATATAACAAGCATGTGTACGTAAAAGCTCAGGAACTTTGTTTTCCACCCCTTGGTCTCTTAACCAGGAAGCTGAATGTAGAATTATTTAGAAGATTAGACTCATTAGATCCTATTAACTGATCAATGACAGAAATATAAAAATCCAAAGAATGAAACTTAAACAAGTCTCTTGGGCCAAATAGTTTCTCGCACCCCCACAACAACAAATTGCAACAATGCATTAAAGCACAGAACAAAAATTGATGCTCACAATAACTCGGAACATTAAAAGGCTAAATTGTGTTTAAAATATTGTATTTGAGACAAGAATGGGTGTATGGTGATGAAAATATAAGGGAAATTTTTAGTTTCACTTAAAAAAAATAAGCTGCTTATTAGAAAACTCATTTCTCTGTAATACTGCAGTCATCAGTGTCAATACTATAAATTATAGCTCTTTATTAATGACACCAAGCACGAGAAACCACGTTATGAAGAACCTAATACATATTATCCAAACTTCCTCCCTCCCTGCTGCATCAGCTTGATTTTGAGATCCATGTCTAGTAAGTTTCTCTCATTAATTTCTGTAATATGAAATAGGGTTGGACATGTATTTTTAGCCCAGAATATATAGTATAATCTTATAATAATCTCTTATAATCTCTTATAATCTGGTACCTGTGACCACCCTTTCACATTAGTTTGAACCTATGAAAAAAAATATTTAATTGTTCTGAACTACACAAACTGAAGTTCTTGTGAATACACACTATTTTCTCTACCTAGAAAAGCTTTCCTCTCCTTCTTCTCATCTTGCTAATTTTTTCACTCATCTTTAAGAGTCCACTCAGTATAAATTTGGATAGGAAAATAAATTAGGAGTCCATTTCTGTGTTCCCAGAGCCATATATACATATGTGTGCTCATTTACGTAGTATTCACCACACCAGGATTGTTAATTTTTGGTTTACTTGTTCATCACCTCTGCCAGATTGGGATTATCTGGCTCTCTGTATCCCCAGAGTACAGCACACAGCCTAGTACAGAGTACTATTTAGTACTATTCTAGAGAGAACCACAGTAATTCTATGTCCAGGGGAGGGTTAAAAAATACCAAAGAAGGTGAAATGAAATTGCTTAAATAATATAAAGTTGGTCAGAGGTCCCGATTTCCTTATTTATGCCCACAACCTCACCAACACAGCTACACTGTTAATTTTTCTGAGACATAAAATGAAAATTGGCATATTTTACAGTATCATCTCACAGAATTTAAAAAATCACAAATGCCCTCTCTCCTAAATATTCTATATAGACATTCATCATAAACCATGTTATGATTTTTTTTTTTTTTTAGTCAAAGTAAAACATTTTTGGTAAGATAAGACAGATGCTGAAAAAAAACTGTTATTCTGGTCTAAAAGTAAATTACTTTGGCATTGTCTGTACCATTGCTTCATTCCATCTGTAGCTACTCAAAGGTTAATTACATACTAATGAACAATTCTTTTTTAGTTTATATGAGTAATCTATTAAAGGTTTTCATTGATCACTGGCTATAGATTGAGGACCAAGTATTCCATAAATTTATGATCTTTGGCTTTTCAGTTTAGACACTACCCCTCCAAATTAAATAAGGGAGTTTCTTATTGCTAAAGGTATGATTTTCCTCATGTTTAGTCTTCACAAAAATCAAGGATTAAGTATCAAGATTCCCCTCACACAGTTCCAAGGACTGTCATGGATGCAAAAGCTTACACTTGAGAATGAAATATTTAACTTATGTCTATGACGATAGAAGAAAAAAAAAGTATTTTGGAAATACTTTGTGAAATGAATGGGAATGACCCTTTTCTCATTCTCCTTAGTCTCATACTTTGTTTCATGTCAGTCTCCTCTGATAGACCACAAATTCTGTAAGTGCAAGGACAATGTCTTTTTCACCGTTGTATCTCCTGTGTTTAATAACATGCTCTGCACACAATAGATGCTTAACGACAGAATGAATAATAAATAACTAGCATTTGCATAGTGTTGTTATAATAGACTTCTCTGTACTCTCTCTCTCATTTGATCTTCATAATAGTACTTATTCTAGGAGTATGACAGATGGGGAAGTAAGGGCTCAAAGATTTTTAGCAAGGCCTACTAAAACGAAGAACCAGGTCTCAGGCTCCTAGTAAAATGCATGAAGTAGAGGTGGTATCACTATCATCCTTTCCCCCTCTACAGTGTAATTTAAACACTCAGGGGAAAAGAAGGAAGGCCGTGATAGCACACAATACTTCCCCGCCACACCCCCACCTTGGAATTAAAACAAACAGGTATAGTATTTTCTAACTGTCACTATTCTTTCCTATTTCAAGGAATAAATACTGAAATAAAATATTGTTTAGGTGTCAGAAATAAAAGATTTGATTCTATTCCCTTTTAAGTCAACAAAGCAATAATAAAACCTTTTCTGTGTCATCATTAACTTATGAGTGAAGTCTTCCAAGTACCCAGCTATGAAACAATGCTTCCATTTTTAAAAAAACTTACTAAGCTTCTACTCCACACACATTTTGCAATACTTAAGTTTCAAAAGCAAAATCCACGACAAAAACTCCCAAGTTTTATATCAGAGTAACTGTTAAGGAGCTACGGTGAGTAAAGAATCTGTCTTTGTCCACAAAGGAAACAGGGTGAAATTGTAAACTGACAACAAAATTTCAAAATGAGTATAACTGAAAAGCAAAGTCATGAAGAGGTAGAAACTCTTTCAAGTAAAAGACCACAAAAATCACATATTACCTTTAAAAATACAATAATTTATAACCAACAGTATCCAAGTTTTGGTCTAGATTACCATGTCTCCAATTCAACTTCATGATATTGCCTTTTAGCAGCAATTTTAGAAGGCTAAAATATTAAATTCAGTGAGTGGGGCAAGAAGATTGAATAATTAACATGTTCTTTAAAACCTAATATGTATTTGGTAAAAATATGAACAGTCATACCTCAACACTCATTAAAATTTATTTATAATATATAAGTAACCATGGGTCATTACTGCCCACTGTACTGATCAGCTACACCTGTATGTCACGTGAAGCATTATTAAGGAAATGTAGAATTGATGAATGTTTTCACATAAAGTAGAGTTTAATTATTTCTCTGACATTCAATTTTCTTTACAAGTCATTCTGTTCTTCACAGTTAACAGTTTTGCTGTTGGGAGACAAAGTTTTCCTCCCTGAATCCAGGTTAACTCTTTACATTCTGAAAATCAGAATCTGTCACTTTTTAGAACTGCTATTTTATTTGATAACTAAAAAACAATGAATAAAAACCATATAGCCACTTGAAACAATTACTGAAGCATACTTTATTCCCAAATTGTTCATGCTTCTCAACAGCCTTTTCACCACTGTTACATCCTGGTGCAGGTCATTCTTAAAATTCTACTTATATTTAGGGATTCATTCCTATAGTGATTTCCATATCTACACATTTATTCATCTAACTGTAAACTTTTTATTAATGAAAAAGTTATGCTCCAACTATTTTTTGAGTAATTTAGTGAGGTGACATTCCATGAGCTAGAATTAACCATTTTTAAAAAATGTTATTATTTTGAGAGACAGGGAGACAGAACATCAGCGGGGGAGCAGCAGAGAGAGAGAGAGGGAGACACAGAATCCGAAGCAGGTTCCAGGCTCTGAGCTGTCAGCACAGAGCCCGAAGCAGGGCTTGAACCCACAATCTGCAAGATCACAACCTGAGTCGAAGTCAGACACTTAACCAACTGAGCCACCCAGGCACCCCTAGAATTAACCATTTTAAAGTGAACAATTCAGGGCGCCTGGGTGGCTCAGTTGGTTAAGCATCCGACTCTTGACTTCAGCTCAGGTCATGATCTCATGGTTTGTGAGATCAAGCCCTACATGGGGCTCTACTGTCAGGAATCCCTGCTTGGGATTCTCTCTCCTCTCTCTCTGCTTCGCTCACATGTGCACTCTCTGTCAAAATAAACAAACAACAACAACAAAAATAAAGTGAACAATTCAGTTGTGTTCAGTACGTTTACAATGCTGTGCAGCCACCTCTCCCAATCTGGTGATAAAACACTTCTGTCACTCCAAAGTAAAACTCCTTACCCATTAACCAGTTTCTCCCTATTTCCTCCTCCCCATGTCACTGGTAACCACCAATCTGCATTTGTCTCTATGGATTTCTCTCCTCTAAATATTTCATACAAACGGAGTCACACATGACTTTGTTTCTGGCTTCTTTCACTTAAGCATGTTTTGAGGTTCATACACATTCTGTACTCTTACTCCTTTTTATGGCTGAATAATATTCTACTGTGCATACATAACATAACTGGTCCATTCATCCACCGATGGACATTAGGGCTGTTTGCGGCAACTTTCTTTTTACCCCTAATAATATATTACAGATTATTTCCCAGGTTGATACATACATACGAACTTCATTCTTAAGCATTTTAGAAAACATCCCTGATAACACATCATTTCACCTATCTTCACATTCTGATATGCATTTCTAAAACTAAGAACACTTTCTTATCTAACCATGAAGCCATCATCACTTAGTGTTTAATGATTAAACATATGGATTTTACTTTTCTGTTTGTAATTTGAAGTATTAACTAACGTCCTATTAAACCGTAGCGGTTAATTTAGGAATTTCTTTAATTTGACTTCAATTTAAAAGATTCATGCTTTCAAAATGATACGTTTGTTAACTTTTACTGAGGTGATAAATCTTGCCTTTATTCCTCCAATCAAGAAATTTCTACCCAGATTAGGAAAACATAAAATATATTTCAAGATAATGACATTTAATCATAGTTTGTATGGTGGAAAAAAAACATGAGATGAATGAAGTAAGGATTACATACATTTGTCTCGAATGTTGAATTTTCCAAGGTTTTCTGAAATAACAAAGCACTGTTGCTATTGATAATGGTGACCAGTGCTGCAATACAATTAAGGAAATAGCAATGATTCATTAAAGCTGTTAGTACTACCATACCTTGGGTCACAGCAGAAAACTGGCCCAATCTGAAGTCCAAGAATACCCTGTAGATACCATATATTTCTATCCCACTTTAAAGTTTTCAAACATTTTTACTTCTTAAAAAGAATAAGCCAGGGGCGCCTGGGTGGCGCAGTCGGTTAAGCGTCCGACTTCAGCCAGGTCACGATCTCGCGGTCCGTGAGTTCGAGCCCCGCGTCAGGCTGTGGGCTGATGGCTCAGAGCCTGGAGCCTGTTTCCGATTCTGTGTCTCCCTCTCTCTCTGCCCCTCCCCTGTTCATGCTCTGTCTCTCTCTGTCCCAAAAATAAATAAATGTTGAAAAAAAAAATTAAAAAAAAAAAAAAAAGAATAAGCCAAATTAGGAAAATATTGACCAATTTAAGATTTAAAATTTATGTACTTAAAAATTCTTGCACTTATTCTAATTCAAATGATTTATGCAAAAAACCCTCAAGAGAAGTAGGATCAACAGGCATTATCTCTATTCTATGTGTAAGGCAATGCAGGCTGACAGAGAATGACATGCTTCATGTACAACTAAAAAACAGCCAAGTCATTTAGAAGAATAATCTTGTTAAGAACAGAAAGGAAACAGATACACCTAAATCATTTCGTTAATGTAACATATTTGAAACTTTAAATTAGTACCTATAATCTGTTTCATTTTATTTAAGAGGACAAAAAAATCATAAAAATCATGTTTTTTTCCTAAAAAGTTATGAAAATAGTTTTAATATGATTTTTATTTTATGGAGAGAGAATCTTTCTTTAAGTTTATTTATTTTGAGAGACAAAGCATGTGTGGGGCAGGGTCAGAAAGGGAGAGAGAATCCTCAGCAGCGCAATCTCAGTGCAGACCCTGCCGGATCCCATGGTTTGTGAATTCATGACCTGAGCTGAAATCAAGAGTTGGATTGAAAATAGTTCTTGATTAAGAATTCACCAGATGATGATAATATATGTTTAAGATAACCTAGTATGTATTTAAAGTCTCTGTGATGTGGTAAATGTTTAGATTTTTTTCTAAATGGTTAAAATGGCTAAAAATAAATTTTTCAAGACAAATTTATTTGTTCTCGAGCTCATCCATCAATATCCAAAGCACAATAGAGAATTTTAAAAGATGACTGCTTCACACATGAAAAAATTTTTATAAAATTTACGTTAGGTTAAATACTTTGTGATGTTAAAAACTTTTTCTGAAGTATTGAAACAGACATTAATACTGGTGACATCTTTAAAGATAGATTTAACAAGAGAGCAAGTCTCCCCATCAATTATGATTATACAGAAAGATTCATTTTTAACTGGGAAAGGATGACTCAAAAGACTGACCGGTAACAAGTACAATTCACTGACATCAATTTTCTAGTTGATGCTCATCGTTTTCCTGGAGAATATTCACAACATTAAAACAAAAACAAAAGGAAGAAAGAAAAAAAGAGCATGAAGGAAATCGACTTGGTACCGACACCATCACTGTAAATCTTAACCAAAGACTCAACAGGAAAAGAGCTTTAAAACCTTTATATCCCATGAGGTTCCTAAGAAACCTGTCTGCGGTGAACTGGCAGGTAGAAATGATTTCTACTGCCACTGGCCATATTGTACCTGTTCTGTGGATAATCAGAGCCCTTCAGTTTCCAAGGCTGTCAATCTGACACCTTTTCCGAGCACTATATTCACTCTAAATAAACAAAACAAAATTTATAATTCAAAGAACAAAAGAAATTAAGAACAAAAATGCTACTAAAGCAACTTTACAGCTGTGATAGAAACCAAAAAATAAGAAAAATGAAATACCAGTGGTATTTTAAATTTCAAGGTTCTTTGTTTGAACTTTATACCACAACTTTATAAAGTTTAAGCAAGATAGTTTTGGTACTTTTGTATCACACAAGAACTTATATTTAACATTTCTTCATAGTGTCAGTGTTTAAAGTGTTATAACCCTTCATCTCAGTATTCAAATAGGTTTATAAAACTACGCTTTAACTACAGATTCCACACACACCCAATATTGTGTGCTAAAATGTCTGGATGGCTAACTGGAAAAAACAGGGAAGAGCTAAGTTCACAATTACTAAAAATAAGACAACATTTACATATATGCACCTTACCTGCAGTTGACCATTTAATGAACTCAAGTCTTCTGCTTTCTTCTCTAAAGACTGAACCCAGACTTTCCTTTTTTGTCGGCATCTTGATGCTGCTGCTCTATTTCGCTCTAGAAATTTCCTCCTTTTTTCATCAGGATCTTCATTAGCTGCTCTTCTTCGACGACCGCTTGTATTTTGGGTCTGTGGAGTTGTGTGAGCTGGAGAAGCCTATAATAAACACAAATGGAAGCTTTTTATGTTTGTAGCAGTGAGCGAGAACATAGGCAGTAAAGGTTGCTACTATATTTTCTAAGTCTCATTGTATATTATCAATATTTAGGAGTGACATGAAAATCACCCTGCAGTTTAACGAATTCCTTGAAATAAATAAGCCCTGCTAAAAAAATAAGATTCTCACTTTTTCACTACCATAGTGAATATATTTAAAGTTTGTATAACATTTTCATTTATACAGAAATAATGTAGAAAACTTGAAACCGTAATACAAATGAACACGTATAGATCTTGTGTTTTTCCAACTTCTTTTTTTCAATATATGAAGTTTATTGTCAAATTGGTTTCCATACAACACTACTCAGTGTCCCAAAGGTGCCTCCTCAATACACATCACCCCCATCTCCTCCCACCACCTCAAGATCACCTCTAGTTTGTTCTCAGTTTGCTGATATGTCTTCCTTAGCTTTTGGTCTATCCCTCTCTAACCTCTTTTTTTTTTTTTCTTTTTTCCTCCCTCCCCAGGGTTTCTTGTTAATTTCTCAGGGATCCACATAAGGTGGCTCATGGATAATCTCTTTCTCTGCTTATTTCACTTAGCATCCACACTCTCAGTTTCCATCACGTTGCCAACAGGGCCATATTTCTTCTTTCTCTGTGCCGTGTACATGCATTGTGTGTATAAACCTACATTTTCTTTCATCAATTCATCAGTTGATGGACATTTAGGCTCTTTCTCATAATTTGGCTATATGGTTGGGGAGAGTGCTTATAAAATGTGAGGGTGTCAGTGCCCCTAACCAAGTAAATCTCCTGTATCCCTTGGATAAATTCTAATGTATTCTGGTCATAGAGTAGGTCTATTTTATTTTTCTGGGAACCTCACTGCTTTCAGAGCGGCTGCACCATTGGTCCGCACTTCCACCAACAGTGCAAGAGGGTTCCCGTTTCTCCACACCCTCTCCAGCATCTATAGTCTCCTCCAACTTTACTTTTTAACATCATGGTATTATACAATCCTTTGAAAAACTGTGAAGTACTAAAGGAAAAAATTTAATAACTTACTTAAATTCACTATGAAAAAACCGTTTTCTTACTATTTTTGAAGTAAAATTTTAAAAATAAAAAATAGTAAAATTTTCTTTTAAAAATTGGTTTCTCTAAAATTGAGGAGTAAAAGTACAGTAGTGCCCCTTATCAGTAGGGGATGTGTTCCAAGACTCCTGTGGATGCCTGAAGCCACGGAGAGTAGCAAACCCAATATATACTATGTTTTTTCCTATGAATATGTACCTATTACAAGGTTTAATTTATAAATTAGGTATAGTGGGAGATCAAAAATAACTCATAATAAAACAGAACAATTATAACAATATACTGTAATAAAAGTTATGTGAATGTGGTTTCTCTTGCTTTTAAAATATTCATACTATACTCACCCTTCTGGTGATGATACGAGATAAAACGTTTATGTGATGATGTGATGTAAGGTGGATGATAAAGACACTGTGGCATAGTGCTAGGCTACTAGTAATGAGCCTTCTAGCAATCTGTCAGGGAGGACCATCTTCTGAGCCATGGCTGACTATGCGTAACTGAAAGCACGAAAGCTAAACCGTGGGACGAGGGAACAACTGGATATACATAGTTTGGTACACTCCGCTTTCCTTCAATTTGTGAAATTTAGGGTCAGGTTCACATGATTATTAATGTTCATCTTCCTGGTGGGCAGAATCTCACGGGAGTCTAAATTTTAATTTTAACTGGCTCCCCTTGCTCAACGGATCTGCCTAGTTCTCTAAGATCAGCCAGGGACAGAAATTTTCAGTCAGTCACTAGTGATACTGTCTAGTATCTGGGGCTATAGAACGATAAGCATTTCCAAGCCTTTCTTAAATCCCAAAATTGTGCCATGGAACACCTGAACTTGGGAGACAGGAAACAACGAACCCCTGGAAATAGTGCAAAGGAAATAGCACTTTGTGACTACAGGTACGTGACCCAAAGAAGCCTGAAAACAATCTTTTTTGCCTAATATGAATTACATTCCAAAATGGGGTGAATAAATAAAATTTCTATCTTCTAATCTACATAATAAGCAATAATCTTATATATAAGCTCAATCAAGGTAAGCTCTGCAGGGAAATCATCAAACTACTTCTCACTCGACAAACTCCAAAACCACAGGTTCTCATTTAATTTCTTTTCCAAATAACTAGCATTAAAAATTATGAGGGTAATTTAACTTATACTGTATTTTAATTGTAATAAAGATTAAGTATTAAATTAGATCATTTATTTTACGTACATAATTGCAAGTTAATCTTTTAGAAAAATATTCTATGGCTGGCTTCAAGAATGGCAACCTTGAAATATTTTCTTGTCTTCATCCTCTTAACTTATTGATAATAGCAGGTTTTTTCTTTTACTCATTTGGCTGAATAGGAAAGAACAGGTTTGTTTGTTTGTTTTTTAAATTTACAAGTCAGTTATTACAGCAAAGGCAAATCACAAGTATTATAAGCAGAAACTAATACAGAGTTACATTTGTACATTTTTACAGCTCACAATTTAAGGCTACTTAAAAGCATATACTCCTCCTTCTCTCCTTTCTTTCAGTGATCCATTCATTACACATCATTAAAAAGAACACAGGAACTATCCTAGAAACTAGAAATACAATAGTAAACAAAGTCCTGCCCTATGAAGCTGTCATCCAATATGATATAAAGATACAAATAAAAATTAGATCCAGGGGAATAATGGTTAGCTTTATATAGAAATTATATAAAAATTTATATTTTTATAGTTATATAGAAGTTATATAGAAATTATTTTATAGAAATTATATATTCATTTCTTTTAAATAAACTTGGAGGATGTAAAAACCACACAGAGCTTGCAGACGATACAAAAAAACAGCCATGGGTGGATTTGGCCCATGAGTTCGTTTGCTAATGTCTGAATTATGACATTAAAACACACCCACTTATTTACCTTCTCTCTTGGCTCCTGTGTTGTTTAGTCGATAACTACCATAACTACATTCCACTTTAAGTTTTGTAAAAATGAAATACAGTTATCTAAAAACTTATGCTTATGAGGCAATCTAGAACTTGCCATTTACCTGTTTAATAGCAAAGTTTTGCTTTTTAATGCTAATGCTAATACTGTTTAAGTATCTCTTAAGATAAAAGTTCTAAATAGAGTTCTGAAACATTTAACAGAAATAGTTACCCTTCCATGTAGAAATGCACTGTAGACATAACAGACCTATCAACCATCTGATAGGCAGTCACAAACTACAGATAAATGAAAAGGACCTCTGGTATAAACAGTGTCCATAAAGCATATGTATCTGCTCCTTTGGTAATGTCTCTCACATTTTAATTCAAGAATCATTTGACTGGGGTATCTGGGTGGCTCAGTCGGTAAAGTGTCCAACTTTGGCTCAGGTCATGATCTCACACGGTTCGTGAATCCCAGCCCCACATCGGGCTCTCCGCTGTCAGCACGAAGAGCCCGCTTTGGATCCTTGGTCTCCCTTCCCTCTCTCTGCCCCTCCCCAGCTTGCTCGCACCACGCTCTCTCTCAGAAATAAACAGAAACATTAAAAAAAAATCATTTGATATATGCCAGTAATCTCATAAATACAATCCACAAAAAATGAGTTAAAAAGCGTCAGTGGAGATTTGTGCTATGTCAGACCAACATACATAGACAAAAGCATTTACAGGGTGTCCTGAGCAGTAATAATTGCTCGACTATTTTAATTATTTACTTATTTATTTTGGGGTGTCAATACTTTTTGAGAGACAGCATGGGTGCAGAGGAGGGGCACAGGGTAAGGAGAGAGAGAATCTTAAGCAGGCTTCACACTCAGCGTGGAGCCTGATGCGGGGCTAGATCTCACAACTCTGAGGTCATGACCTGAACTGAAATCGAGTTGGACACTTAAATGACAGAGCTACCCTGGCACCCCTGGGTGTGAATACTTTTACACTGAACTACCTTTCCTAATGTTTTTGGTACCCTTTTGAAATATGACCAGAAGTAATTTTTTCAAAGTATATAGTCCTTTAAGTTACCCCGTATTTGTTTTTTAAAGGATAACAGAGTGTAGATTATAAAAACAACACACATACCGGAGTTTCTGTAGTGGATGTGGCTGGCTGTTGTAGGGACTGTGGTCGAGATTCCTCTGACTGAGTTCTAACCAATCCACTACCATGACCTTTGACAGTATCACCATTGGTAACTGGAGGATGTTGCTGGGTCAAAGCAGCTTTTAATCTCTGAAATGCAGACATCAATTAAAAAAAAAAAAAGTTCCCTGCTTTCCACTCAAGTCCAACTCCCAAAGTATTCTTTAGTTAACCAAAAAAAAAGTATTTGTTAAGAAATGCATTTGGCTTTAAAATTAGTTTTATCATTACAAATAGTAAGACAAACACTCTGGAAAACTTTCCTGAGTCTTTCTGAGTACTACTATAGGATTTAATACTTTGCTATCCTAATCAATTTTGAGGAAGGAGTGAAAAACACCGTTACCTGAAAATAACCAGTTCCGTTCAATTAAAATAATTAACACAATTATGTACACTGTCACCTATCTTCTTGCCCTTCATTCCTGAATCTCCATCTTTTTAGGCTCTCCTAGATTCTTAAACCTAAATCTCTTCCAAATTTGGGCCCACTTTGGACAACTGGGCTTATTTGGACAATGACCTGATGTTGCATTTTTTAGGCCACTATACTGACTGTCAGACTGAACCTCCTCCTAGAACCTACAGCTAGGTTTGCCTCCCGCAGGTCTTCCCTGTCTCCAGTAAGAAGGTTTAGTTTGAGGTCTATCCCCTCTACTATGTTCCATTTGCCATTTCACTGAATTGCATCTGACCCACTGCCAGGGTATGAGTAACCTAGTGTCAGAAGGAGGCCTTAGACACTTACGGCTACCTCTTAATAAAAACACAATCTGCATAAAACTTACTATTCTATCAGCAAAAGTGTATCATATGTGAATATCTTAGTTCCTCAAACAGTAAGCTCTTTCAAGAGCAGAGATTTCCTTACATTTCTTTGCATCCCTTTTAAGCGACTGGTACACGGATTTGCTACATGGGTGAATAACAAATGTATTTGTTAACTGAGAGAAATTGGATTCTTTGGCAAAAATGGCACAAGCGATATCTGGGGTAGTTTTATTGTTAGAATCTGTAAATATGAAATAATTAGCACAAGATAATCATACCATAATATCTTAGCAATGAAAGGCACCTGAGAGACCTGGGATTATTATTGTTGATATTGTTCTCAGTAACAGTTGTAGTCCTTAAGCCCAAAATAAAGTTTCATTATCTGTGGGGGAAGGAGGCTACAAAATTGATATGAGAAACGTGTTGCAGTCTATCCAGTGCTTTCCAAACTTCCCAGAAGTCATAATTGGCTGGGTGCTAAAAACAGATTTGTACCCACCTTTCTCTCTCCCTTCCTTGCCGATGGCAGGGAGAAGTGGGAAAGAGAGAAGAGCTTTTGAAAAGCACCCAGGTGATTCTAGGACAACTGCTTTCATTTACTCCAATAAGAGCAACTTAGCAAATTATACAACTATCCCAAAATCTGTAGTTTGTTTTCATCTATGCATATCCACGATGCCATCTACAAGTGATCCAGACCCCTGAAAAAACTGAAGCATATATGAAAAGGTCCACCAAAATTTCCCTTGAGGCAATAACTATACCTAGACAAGTGTTCCTGGACATTTTCTCTCTACTGCTAATCACTGTAGATGCTGGGTATGATTTTAAAAATAAGCCAATAGTTTAAAAATAAAAGTTTACTGGGGTAGAAGTTATACATCGTAAAATGAAGTCTTTTTTGTGCATAGTCCTATGAGTTTTAACAAGCACATACAGTCGTGCAACCACCCCCTACCATCAGAATACAAAACAGTGCTATTATCCCCCCAAATTCCCTCATGCTCCATTCCTGTCACTCTTCCTCCCACCCCCAGTCCTTAGAAACCATTAATCTGTTTTCTGATCCCCAAAGTTTTGCCTTTTCCAGAATGTCATATAAATGGACTTATACAGTGTTACAGCCTTCTGAAATCTGGCGTCTTTCTTTTAGCGTAATGTACTTGAGATCCATCCATGTTATCAGTATTTTTTCACTGAGTTTCTAACAGGACAGTGTCCCTATTTTACAGATTGGGAAACCAGAGATCATTTGCCCAAGGTCGTCTTAGTAGCTAAGACACATGAAATTGAGACACTCAACTGAAGGGATAGTATGGAAGTGGATGGATTAAACCAAAATGAGGTAAGTGATCAAAGGAGTAATTGGCTCCAACCAGTAGGACTACTTAGGCTAAATGGTAAAGAACTCAAAGTAGAAAGGAGTTTGAAAGTATAAGTCAATATAAATAGAAGGAGGAAAATCTGGGGAGGTGGTCAGCCTGCATAATTATATCTTTTAAAAACAGAAATGTTACACATCAAAATAAAAGAAATAGTACCTAGTCTATAGTGTTAGGTTAGGGCTTTCACTTCTAGATATAAAATGTACATAAATCTAGGTAGTGGTTGAGATGTGAAGCTTGGTAAATTATGTGTTGGTAAAACATTTTGAAGTCCTTAGGTAGAAAACATCATAGAACTGAAGAGCATTTAAAGTTTTATAGTGAAGAGCTTAACTCTTAGAATTAATGAAATACAGTAACTGCACATAGGGGAGTCTGAAGTACATAAACATCACTCTCTTGAATAATCTTTAGTAGGGCAAGTTACTACCTTACAGAGCACTTAAAAGCAGCATCAGTATTCATTCATTATCCTCTCTTGACTGCCCCAGTGTATACAGTACTCACCCAGTGAGGAAGCTCTAATGTTTGCTCCATGCTGTTACATTGATTACAATGGGTCTGACTTAGAAAGTGTGCCACTGGGTACAGAATTTAAGAAAAAGATTTTCAAGGGTTAACACTGCTCTGAGCTGCATAAATATATATATATATATTTTGTTGTTGTTGTTGTTGTTGTTGTTTTTAAACAGCAATAAAAATACATGTGTGCTAAAAAAAAATTAGAATGGGTTAGGTGAAAAAAGTTGTCACTAAACAGAATTCATAAAAATTTTATAAGGATTTTCTATAATCCACCCAAATATATTTGCTAGAGACATCTTAAATAATGACAAATAGTTTGGTTCAAAATTATTTATTTTAAAATAGAATTTTGGAACTAGCAGATATATTGATAATTAGTCCAATCACCAACTTACAGATAAAGGCCCAAAAAATGAAGTTACTTCCCAGAATCACAGTTAGTTAGAAGCAGAGTGACCAGAAATTCTGTTGACTCCTAATTCGTTGAACATATTTTAGACAAAAGTTTTGCCAAACTAGAGTTTTTGCCTGATATTAACTATTTTAGATATATTAGCAATCAAGAAGAGTATCAGACATTGGCCAGCTCATTTCTCTCCATATGGATATTTAATATAAGTAAATGAAAAGACTGAGTACTCAAAGAAATTCAGTAAGATCCATAAGGTCTGTATTCTCCAACATGTCCAATTAAAATAAAGCTTGAGCATAATTTTAAACCAGAGGCACTGTTTGAAAGAAAACTAAAATATCTTTATTACTCTATTTCCAAGCAGACTAGTGTTTTAATATTTGGAATTAATTTTTAGCAACGTAAAATTCAACTACTATATTGAAACTTTTTTTCTTAGATATAAAATGTGTCAATTAAAGGATGACTGGTTTGTTGTGCTGGCCAATACAACTTACTCATTTTAAGAGATAATCTCCTAAGAATAATTTGCTTTTCAAATTCTATGTTATAGTTCACATTCCTGGAAACAAATTTTATCACATCTGTCAGAACTTAGTAGGAGCAAACTACTCCATCATAGTTCAAAGAAAAAACATAATGTTCTCTAGAAACAATTTATGAAAAAGTCAGATCCATATTTCATATGTGCCACAAAAGCTCATCAGAGTAATAACCCTCCTTCTCCTGGGTGTTATCCTACCATCTGCTGCTCTATTACTTATCTTTATTTTGCAACTAATTAACAGCATAATCTTCTAAATTCAGCAAGTTAATTATCATTATTGTGGTCTTTGCAGCATCATCAGTCCTCATGAAGTCTTGTCTCCCCACCCCCAGAGAACGTATGAAAATGAAGTAGGTTGGGAGAGAGTCTGTTTCTTTGGAGTGGGCTCATTAGGTGTTTGCTGATTAGCTTGGCATGCAGAGGCAGGTCAGAAGAATTCTGCTGAACATGAGGTTCCATGCAGGGCCCAACTAAGTTAATGTAGGTTTCTGAACATTTGCCAAGATGCCCTCTGTCAGCTCTCGGTAGAAACCCCCTGCAGAAAACCTACTGGCTTCCCACCGTATGCAAAGTTATTTCTCAGTTTGTCACACAACACTTCAAGGAAGGATTGTGAAGAATGCTACCTAAATACTTTATTAAATCTTCTTAACAAAGCTCCTAGACAATTAACATTGTCTTATTCAGACACATTACCTTTTAGTTACAAATATTAGGTAAGAAAGTTGTTTTAGTAGAAGAATAACACAGATAGCAAACACCTACAGTTTACTTGCTTAATGACAAAACTCCTAAATGTGGGGAGGTCCATTGCAATTCTATGGAAGACAGCAGATCCTAGGAATTTTTCTATAATATTAAAAAATACTAGATAATTTTGTATTTGTGAATCCCCACTTACATTTGTTTTTCTTACCACATTCTTACTTTCCCAAAGACTTAATCTTCTAACAACCAAAAAAAACCTTGCTCTGGAGAAATTTCTTTAGCAAAAAAAGGATCCTATTTCAATATTTATAGTAGACACAAACAATATGTATTTGTCTTCCTTATATAAGCACTAGGTTTTGAAAATCAGGGCCCCACAAAAGCATTCCTGGCTATCTTCAGATACAAATAAGTTTTCTCTTCAGCTGTAGTGTGCTTGTCATTCTAATGTGTTCCAATGCTATTTCTCCTAATTTTTTATTTTTTTAATGTATCTTTCACTATGTTTAAAAAATTTTTAATTCCTGTATAGTTAATATACACTGTTCATTTCAGGACTTATATAGTGATTCAACAATTCCATATGCTGGGGCGACTGGGTGGCTCAGTCGTTCAAGCGTCCAACTTCGGTTCAGGTCATGATCTCACGGTTTGTGGGTTTGTGTCCTGTGTCAGGCTCTGTGCTGACAGCTCAGAGCTTGGAGCCTGCTTCGGATTCTGTGTCTCCCTCTCTGTCCCT